GTTCAGCTAGATTTCTGGTGGCTCTCCATGATGGTTGCTTTATAGTTTAGTTATAATTTTGATGTGGTGATGGGAGAATGTGATTACCATATTTAACTACTCAGCCATCTGACCAGAAGCCAATAAAGACTTTTTAAAATTATATTTTATTGATTATGCTATTACAATTGTCCCAATTTTTCCCCCTTTGTCTCCCTCCACCCAGAAACCTCAATCCTTCAGGCAATCTCCACACCATTTTTCATGTCTATGGGTCATGTATGTAAGTTCTTTGGCTACTCCATTTCCTATACTGTACTTCACATTCTCATGGTTATTCTGTAACTACCTGTTTGTACTTCTTAATCCCCTCACCTCTACACCCATTCTCCTATACCCTCCTCCCATCTGGCCACCATCAAAACACTCTCTGTATCCATGATTCTGTTTCTGTCCTTCTTGTTTGCTTAGTTTGTTTTTTAGATTCAATTATTAATATGTGTGTATTTTTTCCCATTTTATTGTTCAGAGTTTTGATCTTCTTTTTCTTGAGTAAGTCCCTTCAACGTTTCATATAATAATGCTTTGGTGATGATGAACTTCTTTTGTTTTTTCTTGTCTGGGAAGTTCTTTATCTGCCCTTCCATTCTAAATGATACTTTATCTGGGTAGAATAATCTTGGCTGTAGGTCCCTGCTTTACATGACTTTGAATATTTCTTGCCAGTCCCTTCTAGCCTTTCAAGTTTCTCTTGAGAAATCAGCAGAGACTCTTATGGGAACTCCCTGTAGGAAAGTAACTGTTTTTTTTCTTGCTGTATTTAAGATTCTCTCTATATCTTTAACTTTTGGCACTTTAATTATGCCATGTCTTGGAGTAGGCCTCTTTGTATCTATCTTGTGTGGGACTCTGTGCTTCCTGGACTTGCATGTCTATTTCCTTCACCAAATTAGGGGAGTTTTCTTTCATTATATTTTCAGATAGAATTCCAATTTTGTTGGGAAACCCCCAGCCTGGTTTCAGAAGCTGTAACCCTGCCAACAGGCTGGAGGGCTCTAAGGCTGGAAATAATCAGGAGGATTTGGAGAAACAGGCTCCTGAGGAGACTTGACTTGTTCCCCCTCCCCCCGGCAGGGGCGTAGCCCCTGCCTCTCTGCTTTGCCATGGAGGGTCAATTACCCAATGACAGGTAAGTGACCTTGCACTGAGGTTAACAACCTAAGACAGGTGTTGGCCGATTTTGGAAGCAGGTAAGAAACTGGGGGACATAGAGAAGGGGCAAAAAGGCACCCCACACCCCTCTGCTTGGCTTGGACACGGCCGGAGTCCTCACTGCAGCCGAGAAGCAGTCTCCTTAACCCTTGGTGGCTCCCTCCCCCGGCCTGGCTCAAGCTTGAAACAATGCAGAAAAAACAGCCCTAAATCAGATCTGACAGTCCTGGGGTAATCAGGCCTAGAAATAAATTTTTTAGAGTGCACTATGTTCCTCCCTCAAATCTCTGGTCAGCTCATCCTGCAAAGGGCACTCACATTATTTACATCCCTTTCCTTGTCAAGACATTTGCTTTATTTCCACCTTTTACCCTATATCTTGAAGACACCTTTAAGTCTACTTCCCCCTTATCTATAGCCTCTATTGTTGATTCTAGTCTCCTCTCAGACCCATGTACATCACTGATTTCCTGTCATTTGTTTTCCTAAAGGTATCTATTCTCTGTGAAACTTAACTTGCTAATGTAATGAGTGTACGTATGCACAATGTAAATGTACTTAAGTATGTAACTCTAATGCTTTGTGTAATTCCTTGCATGTTGAGGAACCAGTAAGTCCCATTCACTTAGATCACTGATAAGATTTTCAATAAAAGCCTTGGAACAAATGGTGATGTGCCTTCCCCACTAGGGGCATGTGCCAGGGCCTTCTCTAGTAAGAGGGAAGTGCCTCATCTGCTCTCCTGGCAAACACAGAAGTGTTTGCGACGTTTTGTGTTTATTCCCCCTCATCCGTGACAACCCCGAGATAGGCTCCGCAGGTTTCAGAGCCCTGCTCCTACCTCAGCTGGCCCCAGCCGATTTTCCTCAGGTTTCAGGGAGCGCTTCGCTCTCTGTCGCGCCCCCCTGCGGTGGTGTGTCCCCTATAGCCGCAGCGCAGTGCGACATAATTTCTTGCTCTTTCTCTTCTTCTTTTGGCACCCCTATGATGTGACTGTTGGAATGCTTGAAATTGACCCAGCTTATATTATCCTCAGTTTTTTTTTTTTTCCTGTTCCACCCCTTTAAAACCCCTTTTCTTTCTTCTTGTTTTTTTTTTAATGATGCTTTAATAGATGCTTTAATAGAGGTACTCATCAGGACAGAATTTCTCTCCTTTCTTTTTGGTTAAAAATTCCAAAGGCATTGCTTAAAGTTAAGATGTAGACGCTGAATTCCAAATGAAATGTAATAATATATAAACTGAAAGAATACAGGACAGAATATTTGTAAGGAAAATAATATTTTATTGCTCAGATATCTGATCCTTCTTTTTGAAGAACTGATGTTTCCAATAAAAATCAAGGAAAGTAATTAATAGTCAATGAAACCATGAATGTGCATATTGATCTTAAAATGTAAATGTACTTAAGTATGTAACTCTAATGCTTTGTGTAATTCCTTGCATGTTGAGGAACCAGTAAGTCCCATTCACTTAGATCAGAATTGCCGATGGGATCACTCCTAGGCATTTTATGACTTCATCAAAGTTTGTACTTGGACATAATGTGGTTCTGAACTTCCTGGTATGAAATGGGAGAATCGTGATTAAAGTGTCCTCTGATGTCTCTAAGAGCTCTTATTTATTTATTGGGTAATTTTCCCCAAATCTTCCATAGTGCTGTCTATGTTGGAAGTGTATTTGACCAACAAATAAAAATTTTTCAGAGTGCTACTGAAAAATTCTTTTGGGATCAGATTGAGTGTGTTTACTTAGGAAAGGTTTGTTAAAGTAGTGCTGCTCTTCAAAATGAGGTTTGTAGACCCCTGAGTTTTCCCAAGAACTTTTTAGAGGATCTGTGAGTTTAAAACTATTTTTACAGTAAAACTATTTTTATGGTTTTGCACTTTCTAGTGTGTTGATATTTGAACTGACCATACAAACTTGGTTTTATCAATTGACAACTTGACACTAATCAAGTAATGGCACCAAACGCTAGTAGTAGAATACTCTTCCTTACCACTGAGCTTGCAGTGAAAAAATGAGAGGTACATATAAAGCCCTTCTAATGCATGTCAAATTATGGTGGTTGTTCATCAAAGGCATGGATGTAACTGAGTTGTGAGCTCAACTTTTCTCATGTAACATAAAATTTTAATCAAAAAGACAATCGACAGACTTGCTTATTTATACTACATATTTGGTAGACAATTTTTGGAAAATGCACGAAGTGAGCTTATCTCTCCAAGGAAAACCAACAGTGCTTGTTGCCAATGACAACATTTTAGCTGTTAACAAAAATATGAGAACCTTAAGAAACGTATTTCCAACACTTTGAGCTTGATAACTTTCCAATGCTTATCTAATAAGATTAATGGTGGTATTAACAGATATGATGTTTTAATACTGTACAATGAAACAAGCCAATATTTGGAAAATCTAGATAAGCCAGTGAACCAATATAATCTATTTTTTTATCCTTACCCTCGGATATGTTCACTGATTTTTTAGAGAGAGGGGAAGAGAGAGAGAGAAAAAGAAATATCAATCAGCAGCCTCCTATATGTGCCCCAACCACGAATCAAACCTACAGCCTTGGTACATGCCCTGACCAGGAATCGAACACAAAACCCTTTGGTGCTCCAACCAACTAAGCCACCTGGCCAGGGTTGAACCAATATTTTAAATGAGCAATGCATCAAGTTATAAAATCATGTGTGGATAAAGGATATAGTCAAAGTGTAAGATACATCAGTGAATTTAATATAACAGAGTATAAAAATGTCACAGATACCATATTGTAGCTAACATTTGAGAAAGTATCTCTTATTGAGTTTTTATGTATGTTAATGAAGACTATCCAAAATCTTTTGAAAGCTGTTAAATACTCCCTCCTTTTTCTACTACATATATGTATGTGAGGCCAGATTTTCTTTATATACTTCAACCAAAACAATGTATTGCAACAGATTGCAGAGGCGGATATGAGATATCCAACTATCTTCTATTAATCCATACATTAGAAAGGATTGCAAAAAGTAAATCAGTCCCATTCTTTTTAATAATATTTTTGGAAAGTAATTTTATTTTTTGTAGAAATCTTGTTTAGATTAACCTGTAAGAGATTCATAATTGCATTTTATTTTATTTTATTTTAAGATTTTATTTATTTATTTATAAAGAGAGGGGAAGCAAGGGAGAAAGATAGGGAGAGAAACATCACTGCATGGTTGCTTCTCATGTGCCCCCAACTGGGGACTTGGCCCGCAACCTGACATGTGCCCTGACTGGGAATCAAACCAGCAACACATTTGTTTGCAGGCCAGCACTCAGTCCACTGATCCATGCCAGCCAGTGTTCATACTTACATTTTAGAATAAGAAATATTTAAGCTCTGGTCGTTGTGTCTCATTTGGTTGGAACATCTTCCATACCAGAAAGTCACAGGTCAGATTCCCTGGTCAGGGCACATACTAAGGTTGTGGATTTCATCCTCAGCAAATTGATGTTTCTCTCTCCCTCCCTACCCCCACTTCTGTCTAGAATCAGTGAAAATATATCCTCCAGTGATGATTAAAAGTTTTTTAAAAAGAAATACTTAAAACTTTCAGTTTTGACTTCTGTGTTAAATATTAATAAATGCAACCGATATTAAGTATATGTGGGAATCTCAATAATTTTTAAGAGTCTAAAGTGATTCTGAGATCAAAATGTTTGAGGACAACAGTGTTAAAATGTTAACCAGTCTCTGGTCTTCTTATTATCTTGTCTTGAGTGCTAACTGAAGAATACAATTTTACCTTTGATGTATATATTCTTTGCAGTATAGGATATATTCTATTGAAGATGGAAAAGATGGTGAATGCTTGCCATTTATGTTGTGTGATTCCATGGAGCTGGATGAGAAAGAGGGATCAGGACTATATATGGATGACATTCCCTACATCTTAAAAGGCTGCATGCCAGACAGCTATCATGTAAGAATTCTTTAATCTCTAAAGCATTTCAAGTAACTTTTATCATGCTTTCTGTTCAATTTTTGCTCCATGAGGCAGTTTCAACTATTATAAGGTGATTTCAACATTAACTAACACTACTGTACTTTGAATGAGTAAGTATTCATGTACGTACAGTAACTGCCCTTCTTTTCTATAGTATTAAGAAATATAGCCAAAAGACAGATTCTACTTCCAGTAAAAGGTCATGAGGAGATGGTGTTTATATCACACACTTTAATCTCACACTTTTTTGATCACTTAGACAAAACATTGGAACAATTAACCATTTTTTTTGTTGTTGTTGAACCATGATATACTATAAATAATCTTTGTTGCTTAAGTACTACTTAAATACCTAGAACCAAAGATTGGCTCTGCCACTAATTAGATGTGTATTTGTAAGCACACCATGTACTTGTCTCTGTAAGTCTTAGTTTCGTTCATGTGTGAAATGTATTGCAGGTTATAATAATGCCCATCTCATAGAATGGCTGAAAAGATAAATGAGTTGATATACTCTAAATTCTCAAAAAGTTAAACATCATTATCATCTTTCTTTTAGATATTGGGAGTAATACAATTAGCTTCAATTTCTAAATGGTGATTTCTTTTGACTTTCAATTGTGCTTGATTGGAAACGATAACTATGCACTCATTTATTCAAAAACCCTGTATTTAAAACTTTATTTGTGTCAAACACTATGCTAGTTACTAGAAACACATAGTTGAATAAGAATAAAATTCTTATCCTCATGGAGCTCACAATTTAAGAAGACAAAGACACAGGGAGGAAGAGCAGGGCAGAAAGATGGAGAAAATCATGAGCGAACTAACACCTTTATTTTTCACAGAAGAGAAAAATGAATCCTCTCATTCCATCATTAAAACATATAATTAAAAAATAACTAATCGATCTTTTACTATGCTTTGTAATTTGTTTTCCTAATCCTAGAAAGATTATTGTCTTGTGGTAAAGTGATATTAACTTGAATTTGAAATTTGGTATTTCTTCCATTTTATTTTAACTTTTTCTTCTGTAAAATTAAAATAAATCATAGTTTTTATTTTAAATGGAATTTTCAGTATATTTTGTCTCTCCTTTTTCCTCTATTCATTAGTTCATTCAAGTATGCAAAATGCTTAGAGAGGAGTCTTACATGGTGTGTAACATTGTAATGGTGTTTTTTTTTTTTTTGAGACTGAGATTTGAAGTTAGCTTAAAAAAAAAAAAAAAACATTGTATTTTCCTAAAATATTTCTTTCATAGATAATGTAAATTATGGATAAATATAATTTTTAACCAAAGTAATGGAGTGGTTTTTCTATTAAAAAATATATAATGGCATTACGCTCAGAGTGGAGAGGAAATATGGAATGAGCACCATTAATCGATCTGTGGAAGGGGGACCTGAGGGGAAGGAAAGTTTTGTGTTGGAAGTTAGTGGTGGTCACATTTGAAGCATGAAATTTGTCTTAAAGAATTCAACAAAGACTTTCTAAACGTTACCTTATGTTTGTTTTCCTAATAGTTTAGTCCCCAGCAACCAATTACATCCAGGCACCTCAGCTTCATCGTCTCCCCATCACGGAAGGACAGGATTCACTGTGTGGCTTATGTCTTAGATAGTAACTCTATGAACATTCTGTCCTCCGAAATGGTGGCAAAGTTCAAATAAATTAAAAAAGAAGTATTAAATTGGTGAGTCTCATTTCACTTATCAAAACAATGTATTTTGAAATAATTATAGATTCATAGGAAGTTGTAAAGAGGTTACAGAGAGGTTCCATGTGCCTTTCGTCCATTTCCTAAGGGCTGGGTGGTTGGTGGCAACAGCAGGCAAACAACATCCACAGCCTTGACTGAAGGAAAAGCCCTAAGCTCTGATTTTCAGTCCTTAAAGACTAAAATGGCCATATTTTTTTGTCATGTGTCATTTTATTGTAGCTTGTTAAGGGAGTCACCTCCCCACATTATGTGACAGACCAGGATGCTCAAAACTTGGAAATTGATCCTGTTTCAATTTGTGTGTATAGCTCTATGACATTTTATCATGTGTGTAGATTCACGTGACCACTATAATCTAGGTATAGAACTATTCAATCACTACAAAAGTCTCCCTTATAGTACCCCCTCAGTCCCCATCGTCTTTAACTCTTGACAGCCACAAATGTCTCCTCTCTCTTTATAATTTTTTATTTTAAGAATGTTATATAAATGAAATTACAGAGTATGTCACTTTTTGACTCTTTTTTCACTCAGTCTCATATCCATGGAGGTCCGTAGTAGTTGCTGCGTGTATCTAAATTCATTCGTTTTCATTGTTTAGTAGTATTACATGGTATAGATATACCACAGTTTGTTTAACATTTTGATTACTTCCAGTGTTTGGCTATTGCAAATAAAACTTCTATGAACATTAGTGTATGTGTTTTTTATAGTTTTTTCTTTTTTTTATCAAGATGAGGGAGTTCTTTATTCCTAATTCTCTGTGAGTTTTTATTTTTTATCATGAATAAAGGATGTTGAATTTTTGTCAAATAGTTTTTCTCCATAGATTGACATAATCATGGGATTTTTCTTTAGGCTTTTAATATGATGGATTATATTGATTGTCTTTGAAACTTGAGTCAGTCTTGTCTCCTTAGACTAAAACCCATGTATTCTTGGGATATAATTCTTTTGATATAGTGATAATCCCATTTGATAATACTTTATTAAGAATTTTTGCATCTATATTCATAAAGGATATTGGTCTGTAGTGCTCTCTCTCTCTCTCTCTCTCTCTGTCTCTTTTTCCTTTGTCAATGTTCATATCAGGGTAATACTGGCCTTGCAAAATGAGTTGGGAATTCTACCTTCCTCTTTTATTTCTGGAAGAGATTGTATAGAATTGGTGTTAATTTCTCTTTATATATTTAGTAGAATTCTCCTACAATGAAACCATCTGGGCCTGGAGATTCCTTTTTCAGGAGTTTTTAAAATAAAAAATTTAATTTTAAAATGGTTATAGAGCTATTAAAATGATCTATTTCATGTTAGATGAGTTGTAGTAGTTTGTAATCTTTAATTTTAGTCTATTACAACTAAGTTGTCAAATTTATGTTTGTAAAATTGTTCATAGCACTATTCTTTTTATGTCTCTAGGACCCATAGGTATATCCTTGTGTCCTTCCTGATGTTGGTGATTTGTATCTTCTCTTTTGTTTTTCTTTGTCAGTATTTCCAGAGGTTTGCCAATTTTACTGATCTTTTCAAGGAATCATGTTTTTATTTCTTTGATATTTTACATTGTTTTTTTGTTTTCAATTTATTTATTGATTTCTGCTCTTTGTTATTTCTTTTTCTGCTGTTTTTATTTTATTTATTTTTAAGTTAAATTATATTTTATTGTTTATGCAGTTTATGATTTCTTTCATCTCATTGATTTGGGTATAATTTGCTTTTCTTTTTTCCTAGTTTCTTTTTTAAAGAATGATTTTATTTATTTATTTATTTTTAGGGAGAGGGGAAGGGAGGGAGAAAGAGAGGGAGAAAAACATCAATGTGTGGTTGCCTCTTGAGTGCCCCCTACTGGGGACCTGGCCCACAACCCAGGCATGTGCCCTGACTGGGAATCTAACTGGCAGTCCTTTGGTTTGCAGGCCGGCACTCAATCCACTGAGCCACACAAGCCACAGTTTTTTTTTCTAGTTTCTTGAGATGGAAACTTAGATTATTGATTATGGACTTTTCTTCCTTTCAGTTAGAAGCATTGAGTGCTACATATTTTCCTGTCAGCACTGCTTTAGTTATGTTCCATAAATTTTGTTATGTTTTATATTCATTATTATCCAATTTAATACATTTTTTTATTTTCCTTCAGACTTCCTCTTGACTCATAAATTATTTAGCATATATTGTTTAACTTTCAAGTGCTGGAAGTTGTTCCTACTACCATTTTGTTACTGACTTCGAGATATATTCCATTGTGGTCAAAGGACACAATCTGTCTGATTTAAATTTTTTGAAGTTGGATTTGTGGCTCAGAATATAGTATATCTTGAAAAATGTTCCATAGGTGCTTAAAAATAATGTGTATGCTGTTGATTTTTGTCTTGTTTGACAAATGTCAATTAGATGAGAGTTTCTTGTGGTTTTTTTGTTGGTATTTTTTTTGGTATAAGTAATTCTTGATTACACTGTGGATATTTTGCATACTATAATATGATACTCTAGATCTTGGTGAAGTTTTGTGTTTTTACATACTTCTTCTGACACTGTGCTGGTAGGAGTGAAAGTACAGTTTTCTTACCAGGATTTGTTTGGCACATTTGAGGGGAAAGAATACTTTGTTTTTGATCACATATGGCCTACACTTACACCACAGGGGGCTAGGAGTCTCATTAGGCCTGCATGAATGGTTAAAGTTTCAGTTTTTCACTTGGCCCCCCGACACTGATAGAGAGGGAGAAGAGCACCTTGTAACTGTGGTTTAGGTGGAAGTCCAGGGTTCCCAAGGAGCTTCCATTGACACCATTGAGGGGGACCTAGCACACTGCAGGTATAAAGGTCCAGGCTTCCTACTTGCTTCTCTTCTATGGTATTATTAATATCCTGGCAAGGGATGGAGGTTGGAGAAGGGAAGAAATATTTCTATGGATGGGACTGAGGTTATCTCTGTGGTGTTTGGCCGGGGGAGAAGAGCTGTTGTCTAAAAGCTTTCTGTCTTGCTAGGTTGTGCCTTTTCTCATGGTTTCGCTAGAAAGAACATGATGGAAGAAAAAGATTATTTCTTGTAATAGAAGAACTTCAGGTCCCATATGGAGATGTGGGGGATATTTCATTCTCTAAATTTTAAAATAGCCTACAGGGAACTGATTTTGTGCCTATATAATTACCTTGTTGACACATTGCTGATTATGATATAAAAATAACCAAATTTATCTATTTGATATAGGTATACCACAGATAGCCTTGCTTACTAAAGTGACAAATTATCATGAAGTTCTTCAAGATAACTTTTTAAACATGAAAAAATGTATAACTTCTGAAAGCAAGGTAAAGAACCCTGTTTGTAACCAGCTATTATTGAAATAGTGTTGTATTCTTTGTGTGAGCGCATGCACTCACACTACATATTCACAGGCAAGTAAAGAAATGGATCAATAGCATGGTTAAATCAAGTTTATACTTCATTTTGAAACTATAATTATCTGAATTATACTTATGTTATGTAGAGAATTTATCTAGCCATTGCTTTTTTAAATTTCTTTTTTGATTCATATTTAAATTCAGTCAAATTTGAGTTGTAACTTATCTTTATTAAATTTATTTTTTCCACAGATAATGAAAGTCCAAGAAATGCTACACATTCCTACTTCTAATATTTTGATGGTTGAAAATTATGCTTCAGAATTAGAGCTGGAACCTTGAAAGGACGTTCTGATCCCTTCTGCTCTGAGGCAGATGTTACGGGCTATAGATGACTACTTAGAGGATTTGCCCCTTGAGGAGACAAGTAATCTGGCCTCTTTACGTTCTTTTCATTAAGCACTGGTTCTTTTTGAAACACCCAAAGCTATACCTCATTTGGATGGCTGGTGTCCATCTGCCTGTTTAACTCCTAACAGCCATGTTACGATAGGTGTTTTATTTCTCCTCTTTTCTTGTTTTGTTTTTCAGATGAAGTTGTGGGAATGTCCCAGCTTTGTATGTGTGATTAGTTGCCCTGATTCTGACACTTCTCCCACACCTGGATTGGCAAGCCTCAATCAGAGTCGACCTCTGCTGCTAGCCTCTTTGGGACTCTGTTTCTTCATACTTTGCTTTCTGTCCCTGATAGCATTTGATAGTTCATTCTAGGATCAGTCAGACTTCAAGCTCCAAGGCCAGCTCTGAGCAGTGATGGGCCAAAGTATCCCTACTGTAAACCATCCTTCATATTTCTGTACCATTTACAATTTAATTTCTGTGACACCTTCCTAAACCTCCTAGCCAAATTAATTATTCCCTAATCTATAAATCTATAACACTTTATTTAAGACTCTATGTAAGTAGTGATCATATTGAATAATAACTATACAATAATTACACAGGTATGTGCTTCCTTAAATAGACCATGAATTCTTTAAGAAGCCAGGTTTGGATTTTACGTATCTTTGTATTCACAGAACTTAGCACAGTATCTGGCAGGACGCAAGCATACCTATCACTATGCATCCCTTTTGACCTCCCCAGAATAGTACTTAAAATGTTTCTCATCATAAAAGGGAAGAACTAGGAAAGAATAAAATCCTAGAGGGATGAAAGTGAAATAAAGGAGAGAGAATGTTTCACTTATCTCTGAATGAAAATATGAATTTAAGTTAATTAAAAAAACAAATATTTCTTAAAGACTTAGATTTTCTTTCTGTGAAAAAAAAAAAATTTCTTCCTCTAATGAACCAAGGCCTGATTTTCTGTAATTAAATTCCAAACCATCATAATCATGTCTCCAAAGTAGAGTATTAAAATAAGATTACTAGTGCAAGTCAATAAGAGGTTTGTCTTATACAAGTGCTCCCAAATGATTCTAACACCCTCCAGGAAGCAATAGAAGTTAGGACTATAAATAAAGAAAACACAAATTCAAGAAGATATGTTTCAGGTTTTTTCCCCTAACACCGTCTTCACTCTTTTTTCTAAATTTCTTAGACTTTTGCAAATGAACATGCTTTGCTTCAATAGTTATTTATATTAAAGTAGTCTAATTTGTGTTTAATCGGAATTCTTGTCTTCTTTGGAAAGTCCTGGGTATTACCAGGGTATCTCTATCCTTAGAGATACTTACCAAAAAAAAAATTTCCTAAAGCAAAGCTGCAGGTTAAACTGTGCTCAAATGAATGTTCAGAGGCCATGATTCAGTGGAAGAGATAAATGGGATCTTTTGATGTAGGAATAGAATCATAGATGTTGAGGAGTAGAGCCAGAAGGAGATATTGGGAATAGAAGAAAAGTGGCAGGGAAGATGGCTATGATGTGGATCTAGGGATCAATAGATCCAAAAAATAAGATGTGTTTGTCTCCATGTGATCCAGCTAGAAAAAAACCAGCAAAAAATACTTTTCTTTGAAAGAGATTGAAGGTGATGGAAAAGCCAGCATCGTGCTCACCAACTATGGGGCCATGAGTAATCCCTTTCCAGAGTGGTGCCAGCAAAACATATGGGCAGAAGAAGATTTTTCTAGATGCAAAATTTGATTCAAGGTGGAAGATTTTTTACTCATTTGAAGGGGAAGCAGGCAGTAGCCTTACAAAGGAGATGAAGATTCTGAAAAGCACAGGAGCAATAGAGTGATGAAGAGAGAAAATAGATTATCCAGGCGAACGAACATGTGTTTGAAAGCATAAACACTGAGGCTACCAAGACTTTCCCTTTTTGTAGTAAAAAGGACAATGTTAGATAAATGGTGTCACAATTTCTAATCTTCTGGCTCTATATTACTTTGGGAACACTTAAAATCCAATGGAATTAAACGTATATTTGAAATTTAGGATGGAAAAGATGACTGGAGGGGGTCTCAAAAAGAAAGAAAATGAGTAAGTGGAACTATATCGTACTACAAAGCTTCTGTGCAGCAAAGGAAACCACCAGCAAAATGAAAAGGCACTCTCCTGAATGGGAGAAAATACATGGAAATCATGTATCTTATGAGGGGCTAATATACAAAGTACATAAAAACTCATGCAACTCAATAGCAGAAAAATAAACCATCTGATTAAAAAATGAGCAGGATAGTTCATTATTGGTGTCTAAAAGTGCCACCAATTTCTGAATATCAATTTTGTTTCCTGTTACTTGATTGAATTCATTTATCAGTTCTTGTAGTTTTTTGGTGGAGTCTTTGGAGTTTTCTATATACAGTATCATGTCATCTGCAAATAAAGATGGTTTTACCTCTTCCTTTCCAATTTGGATGCCTTTTGTTTCTTCTTCTTGTCTGATTACTGTGGCTAGAACTTTCCGTACTGTGTTGAGTAACAGTGGCGAAAGCATATATCTCTGTCTTTTTCCTGATCTTGTGAGAAACATTATAACATAGGACTTCACTATATATATGGAATCTAATGAACAAAATAAACAAAATAGAAACAGAATCATAGATACAGAGAAGAGACTGACAGTTGTGGGGGTTGGGTGAAATAGAGGAAGAGATTAAGCAAAAAAAAAAAAAGTACAGGCATCAGAATGGTGATTACCAGAGTGAAGAGCAGCGGGGGCAGGTAGAAGAGGGAGAAGTGGTGATAAATGGAGCTGGAAGGAGGCTTGACTTTGGGTGGTGAACTCACAGAACAGTATACAGATGATATATTATAGACCTGTATATCTATAACCCACATAATTTTATTAACCAATGTCATACCAGTAAATTTAATAAAATATACATTAAAAATAATCAGGAGATATGAACAGACATGTTTCTAAAAAAGACATACAAATGGACAAAAAATATATGAAAAGATGTTTTACATCATTAATCATCAGGGAAATAAAAATCAAAATCATGATGAGATGGCACCTCACACCTGTTAGAATGGCTATTATAAAAAAGACAAAAATTAAGTGTTGGTGAGGATGTGGAGACAAAGGAAACCTTATGCACTGTTGGTGGGAATGTAAATTGGTCCAGCTACAACAGGAAAACAGTATGAAGTTTCCTCAAAAATTAAAAACAAGGCTACTGTGTGATCCCGCAATTCTATTTTGGGGTATATAATTTGAAAACACTAACTCAAAAATACATATATATTCCCAATTCATGATAATTGTTCATTGCAGCATTATTTACAATAGTCTTTATATGGAAACGATCTAAGTGTCCACTGGATGGATAAAGAAGATGTGATACACACAGGTACACGCACAAATGGAATGTTATTCAAGCATAAAAAAGAATGAAATATTTCAATTAGTGACAACATTAATGGATCTTGGTGATATTATGCAAAGTAAAATAAGTTAGAGAAAATATTGTATGATCTCATGCATATGACGAATCTAAAAAAGCTGAACTCATAAAAACAGTAGAATGGTGTTGCCCGGGGCTGAGGGTGGGGGAAATGGTGAGATGTTGGTCAAAGTGTACAAATTTGCAGTTTTAAGATGAATAAGTTCTGGGATCTAATGTTACAGAATGGTGACTACTTAACAATACTGTATTATATTGAAAGTTGCTAAGAAAGTGGATCTTAAATGTTCTCACCACACATACAAAAAAGGTGATTATTTGAAATGATGAGTGTGCTAACTTAACTTATTGTGATAATCATTTTGCAATGTATATTTGTATCAAATCATCACATTGAACATTTTAAATTGCATCACATTATATATCAATTATATATTAATAAAGCAGGAAAAAAGTAGAGAAGGAAAGAGAAATGGCTAACAGAAGTGTAGCATTGTACAAATTCACCCAAAATTCACTTTAATTAAATACCAAAATGAGCAGTTATGGTGGATGATGAGTAAGCCTGTGTCTTTTAAAAACTAACTAAAAATTAAGTTCTTTCTTCATAAAAACAGCAAGGCCATAATTAATATGACAAAATTAATTGCAGGACTCAAGTAAGTCCCAGCTGCTTCAGGGACTGATTGATGAGTAATCATCTTGTAAACTCAATCTGATGTTAAAGCTGCCACTTGATGGCAAGGCTGATTGAGGTCTTCATGGTTACCTAAAAGCTGTAGGAATTCCCATCTCTAATGTGATGAGTCTCTGGGCCAGTTTATGGAGGATAGTAGATTGTTCATCTGTTTTTTGCCATCAATCTAAGCAAGATGGAAACTTGCACAGCAGTCATAAACCCCTGCAAAATCTTTCTGTGGTGTTGAAGAAAATGCAGGCCACTGGGGAAAGCCTGACCACAGAGTTAGGATTACAGCCAGTACACAGCTGCGCACCCCAATGTTTTCTCCCACAGAGCTCATGAAGGCAGATTCAAGATATTCCAGGCTTCAGGTCAAAACTGACAGCGTACGCAAAACTTCAAGCCGAGATTGCAGGAACAGCGACTGGGGAGGGTACGAAGGCTAACAACCTAGGCTGAACAATGGTGCGTAAATAATTATAATTTCTATTAGTTTTTTAAACAAGTGGTTTCTTTTGCACATTTAATAATGCTTGTCTGCCATTAATAAAAATTCAAGGAAATATATATTTAACATATATTTAAGCCTTTGAACTTATCTGTCTTTCATTTGGTATGTTGCTGAAGTGTGAATTCAAATGTGATTGAGTTACTACAGTTTAAATAAGCATTCCAATATAAACGCATACGTGGTATTCTGAGAGTATAAGATCCTGTTCTGCCTGGTAGATGATCAGTAGTCCTGTTCTGAGTGTTAGATTTATAGAGAGGGTATTCTCAATCTTCATTACTGAGGAGTACAGAGAGAAAATAAAAGTAACTCATTGGTGTGGTATGATTTCATACATTTCAAATGAACACTGAGAGAAGCTAGATAATCTCTTAAAAGAGAAACTTTTATGTTTTACCTGTACTTCTTTGTATATACTTCTTTCCTCATTTCCCAGTCACTCACAGTATCCTCATAAAATTTAGACTGCTTAAACCAGAGAATAAAAATATCCTAAAACAACATTCAGATGTTTTTATTTCCATAGTGGACCCTCAGGAGTCCTGGCCATGGAAGAATCTGAACAGAAAACTTATAGAATTA